GAAAGAGGCCCATAACTGGCTCTAAAGCAGTTTATAATCTATTTCTGATTTAAATTAAGATAGACATGGGTTTAAGTGACAGAATTTCTACCTTTCAGTTGGTCTCTTTAATATTAAATTAAAATTATATTAAATAATATTAAAATTGAAAAGTCATGCATTCAGTAGTTAGGAAATATCATAATTAAGGTTGCCTGTACAAATTTAATCTGTATGTAATCTGAAATCATGTGATTCCACACTTCTTTCCTTAGAACACTTCCCTCATTCACAGGACTGAAGAACAAGGCCATGGAAATGGTTCCCATACTGCAGAAACCGTAAGTTCGGAAGGAAATGGGGTGAAAGGTGGTAAAAAAAGAAAGGATGGCGTTGTGGAAAAGGCAGACAGATGCCACTGAATGAGCCTGCTTTTGCTTCATAATTCTTATACGGTGCTGAACAAATCATTTAAATCAAAATAGCCACATTTGAGAGCATTCTGCATGGGGCGGGAGGAGGGATTTGGATGCCTAAAATTAAGTATCTGGGAACAGGTTATGCAAAAACGCTAATCAGTAACAACTGTAACTGAAATCAATAGTCTTGAGCTGTGCTTTCAACTTATAACATGGTAAAAAATCTGTAAACACTAAAAAAAATTACTTTTAAGACATACCACCAGCAGCCAATATTTGCACCAATACATTCTAATTTTTTATGTAGATAATCATTGCCTCTTTTTTGTCGTTTGTGTATGTGTGTGTGTGTTTGTGTCTGGTTTTTGGCTTCTGTACTAAGATGAGAAAGATTTGAGATCATAAAATGCTAATTACTGGGTTATGTTAGGCTTTGATGCATGGCTGTCCAACTGCCAATATCTGTGTCTTAAGAGAATACTACTAGCAAATGCATATACACTTTTTAAGTTTGAACCCAGTTTTTCAACTTTGAACATAATCAATATTAAAATAGATATAAATTTATTAATGAGATGATAAGATGTGATTGCTTGCTGCAGTGGGAACTTGACTCACTTGAGCCAGGAAATCCTTTTAGTGTCTCATACATTTTCTTCCAATGCTTTGAATGGCCAAAGAGAAAACCAATCACTTTGTTTTGTTCAAGATGGGATTTGAGTGGTTAGCATTAAGTAAGGCCTGATACTCTCATGAGTTTAAGACACACAAAAAAAAGTCTGAATAAATGAGGCAGGCATCCTATGCAGAAAAAGTACTTAGCATTATTTACAAAACACTGTACCATAATGTGAATGTAAAAGGAGTTGAAATATTTTGAACATGCAGCTTTAATTTGACATTTCTTAGTTCACAGTTGCTTAGTCAGGCAGCATTATTTTTTTAAAAATAAACTGTGGTTGCTCTGTGAATTTTTTCCTTAGAGCTTTTGTTACTGTTTTGAGGCTATATAAAGCAAAAATTGAGATGAAACCTGCCTGACTTTTTTAAAATGAAAAATAAAACTCTTTTGTTGGTAAGGTAATAAAAGGTGTGACTGGCCTCCCATTGATTTAGGAGAGGTGAGCGAAGGGCAAATATGTCCTAGCCTTGCTGTCAAGGTACTTTTTCCCTCGCCAGTATTTCACAATGATCTTGTTGATTATATTAAGCTGATTTAAAGGACACCACTATTTTGAAGATGTGTCATATAGATGTTCTATCGATATCAATACAAAGTGTTATTAAGGATGAAGTACTGGCACAAAGTTCTCAGATAAATCAGGGGTAATCATAAAGCAAAGTTATTAAAATGTAATCCTTCAAGATCCATAGGTGTTTAAGACCCATAGGTCAATATTTCTGACATCCATTTTCCAAGATTACCGCAGGATTTCCATTTCATCTTAATTTCTTAGTCAGCACAGATATAATTGGATTAGTTGTGTCTGTCTGTTCACTGTTTTGCCCTCTTAAATTCTGTGGAAATGCCTGCAAATGCCCACAGCTTTGCACATCTCAGTATCAGCTGTGTAATTCAGTTGTCTTATTAAGGCTTTAGATGAGAGAGATGAAGGTTAAGTAGGATGTAAATGAGACCTAAAAATCTAGGGTAGTATTTTCAGTACAGTGTGAGTCACAGGGAAGCGTTTAGCAGTACCATCGGCTTTAAGGAAAACCGTGACACTCAGAGCACGGTTTTGCAGGTCCCCTCTGGGAGAACTGGCTCCCTGTGCCCCGCTGTGCTATTGCTGCCTCCGGGTGATTCAGGGGAAGACATCCTTTTAGGAGAAGTACCACTCAGCTAAGCCATTTTCAGGTGAAGGTTTTCTACAACTTTTCGTCGATGATATCTGTGTTTGTTCTAAGGGAAGTCTGCTATCAACTCTTCGTACATTTTTAAGTGACCAAGAATAATCTACACATATTTAAACATATCTCATTCTAGAGCTACTTTACACATGTTTCATCCATTTTCCTACATCTCTGTAATGGGTTTTTAGAGCTTCACTTCCCTTGCATCTTTTTTCAAAGTCTAAGAGCAGTACAGCAAATTCTGGTGTTATTTGACCTTCCATAGCAAGGATTCAGCCTTCTGAATGTGAGATTTCACAGGGTGAAAAAAACCTGAGACGTGACTTTTTACAATTCACACATACAATCTGTTCTATGGTGTAAATGAATCCCTGTTCAGCAAATATTGATAAGCAGCTTCCTCTTAGACATTACAAATCATGCAGCTGCCCTGAACTAGTTAACAGCGTTAAATGTCAAATAATGACCAAGAATCACTTCTAGCATAGTGTTTGGTGTCTATTATGAGAAAATCAGGGTAATGCCTCTGAAATTGCAGAAACTAAGGCAATTTATATCATCTCACAGCATTTAATCTTTAAGCAGTAAGAAATGTATGCCCTTACCTTTCTATAAAAAACACGTGATTTAGAGAGTAATTTCCTTTTCAGTTTTGAAATGATGATACATCTTGTATTGCTTAGAGTTTATAGTGGATTACTTGAATTACTTTTAGATAAAAAGAACTATTTTCTTTTTTATCTAAAAAAAGATAAAATGCAGCTGTAAACCTGTATAAAAATTTGCCCTCCATAAAACATTCCAGAAACCCTGGAATAAATCTTTGTAAAGTCTCAAAGGCAAGCCATAGTTTCTAATAGAACTCTATCTATTACTCTCCTAGGCAATCATAGTAACAACAAGCAATAAAGAATCTCTTTTAAAATGACATGTATTACAGTGCACCTATAAGAAGTTGACCTATTCTGCAAGATAAATAGAGCACTCACAGAATACTGCAAAAAAGAAGAATAGGAAACACATAATTTATGTCCTTTAAAAAGTATACCACTGGAAGTAATATACTTTAACAATGCTTGGAAATAAATTAGAAATTGTGCCTGGGACTATTAAATAACCAAGACTGGTGAGATGTTTAAACTGAGTATAGTCAAGCAAGTTAAAGGATGAGCCTAGAATATCCCCAAACATAGATTTATTTACTTGATTTAAAGAGAAACTAAATGCACAGGCTAAAATAGAAACTTGTGCAACATAAACAGCCATTTTAAAATTACTAATCCATCAGATTGTGTAATTTATTTATCATAATTTCAGAGAATATGGTCTTCCTAAATCTACATTTTTGTAATATCAGGTTGGATCACTACCATTGTCAGTGTGGCTTCATAGCACAGGCCATGCAATTCAATCTAGTGACTCCTATGTCAAAGCCACAGTTCTGTCTGAATTAAAGTGTATTTTTAGACATCCGAACTCCATTTAAGAATGTAATGTGATGCTTACTTTCCTCTTTCACTGATAATTTGTTCCAGTGCTTCATTATTCTTTTTGTCAAAAAATGTGCATCATATTCCTGTTTAAGGCCTACCTTATGCAAAGATTTGATTTTTTCATAAAATATACTAAATATGACTCAATCTTCCCAAAAACATGCTAAAGGTGTAAAAAAAAATCTTGCATGATAAGTGGTGAATTGTAAAAATGACTTAATTCAGTTTTGTCCTTTCATCCGTGGAGAAAGGTGTCCTATACTTAATGTAGCTTCACACTAGTGCCTAATGATGTTCATGCTTAAACATAGATGAGGCAGAACTTAATGCTAGACACTTCCCCCACCAGATGCCTGAAGAGCCTATGGTAATCAGTGTTCCTCATTTGTATACTTTGCTGAAAAGAACAAGTCTCTGCAAAACACGGGCTGGAGAGGAAGAGGGATAAAATTCCAAATTTCCTTTGCTGCTTTTCCTGACTTCTTTAATCCTAGCCAAAGGTCAGGCAGAGCACCAACAGAGAAGGGGAAGAAGTCCGAGTTCTTGCCAAGGTTACCTTAATACCACATCTCTCTCCTCATTTGTAGGCTGCCATTTCTAATCATTACTTCAATAGGCAACAGGAACCCTCCTCGTTTTTAAAGGAATGACTCTGTGTCTAACTTGAGGGCACGGTTTACTGTAGCACTGTATACTAGGTGTTGTAATACTATTACATTAATACCTAGAGCTCTCTGTGCATTTAGTCTAAATAACCTTCCAAAGAGGAATACAATATTGGGGTAGAAATTTTTTCATCCTAGTAACATGCATAGAATATGTAATGTTTTCATCATCCCATCCATCCATTCATCCACCAGTATCCCTCAGACCAGTTAGCAAAGCTAAGCTAAGTATGCAGCTAATTGTTACATTATCAGCTCCAACTGATTACTTTTGAATGACATTTTCAAAGACTAACTTTTCTTTTCAACAGAATTAATACAACTTTTCAGCTCTTGATATTTTCTAATCCACATCTATAGCAACATACTAGATAGCCACTTTCAGACACCTGGGACAGCTTTCTGTCATCATTTTTCAAGTAAAACTGATTTCTGTACAGTGCAGTATAGTAACCTATACATACAGAGGTGATGAAGCATGAGATGCTTCTTTTGTTGCAACGTTTCCCCTTTCAAGTTTATACAATGCTGGTTATCCTGTGGCCATATTTTTTTGCAAACAACATGAAATACAGTTAAAAGATTATAGCTCAGTTCACTTTTTTTATTTCAAAGTTGATGCAAAACTTCAGTGTAGGGATGTAGAAAATGGTTACAATATATCAAGTATCTGATTCTCTTTTGCTCTTCAACTCATTTTGAAATTAGTACCCTCTACATATATATATATATGGGTATCTTACCATTCATATGTTCCTAACACAGTTAAAGAGGATCCTTGGAAAAGGAACAGGATAATATATGGAACTTTGCAATGTTTCCTGCAATTTTTTCAATTGTGTTTTGAAACTATTTCCTTTTAATCTACAAAGTGAATTCAGAAATAGCCTTCCCAAAGTCTTAAATGTCATTTAGTGCCACCATGGGAAAAAATCGTTATATTATTCAGCATAAAGTGCAGTATAACTCATTAGCTGAAAAAACACTAGCTGAGAAAACACTTTCATGGGTGTCTGAAAGGCAAAATGCAGATGTGACAGCTACAATTTTTTTTCTGTCAGAAATTACAGGTATGTCATTTTGTATGTGTTTTGTATTAATCGCTCGTCTCAGAAACTAAATCAGATAATCAAATAACAAAATCCCTGAGGTTTTTCATATTCAGTTTTCTATGCTGAAGGGCACAAAAGCATTCAAGGTTTACCATATGTCACCCCCAATGTTATTTTCTCCATCAAAACAACTCTCCTTGCAAGGTAGTAGCATGAAGAGGATATTTTCAGCATTAAATCCACTAACGGGGTATAGAATAAGCATTTCACTGCTGACTCTGGCTATACAGAATAAAGGAGCACTCCACAGTGAGTTTAGGTGTCTACTACAACACAGAGGGGAAGTTACATATCTAATAAAGGGATTCACAGCAGCCATGATGTGGGGATGGGATGTCCTGAGCTAGCCAGGAGAAGGTATTGTGGAGATGGGTGGGCTTTATGTCTCAGCTCTGCTGGGCCCTTTGCTTGGATTGGATCTAGTCTCTGATGCTACACTTATCCCTCATAGGACTCATAAGAACCTTCTGTAAGAGTTCACTGTCTACTCCAGGTGAGTCTTTTTCAAAAAACTCAAGCTAATTAAAGAGAAAAAGCAACTGTTAACATGATCATACCAGGTAGCACAATGATTAGAACAGTCTCCTGAGGTATAAGGTACTCATGATAATCTCTGATTTAGCACTGAGATTTAAACGTGGGTCTCTTATTTCCTGTGTGAACATCACAGTAGATCAAACAGGACCTCCGTTAATCTCTCTTACAGAAGATATTCCCTTTGTATTAATGATTTAAAATATTTATTCTGCCAGAGACACATTTAATTATCTCTAACTGATGGTTGGTGTGTGCACATGAGAGAGGAGTCCCAGTTCTTGCTCAATGAATGTTTTGCTCTCTTTGGTGTGAGGTGCAGCCCACAAATCCATGTCCTGAGACTTCCTTCTAGATCAAGCTCCACATATGAGATAAGCAGAGGAACACCCAACTGATACATCCAGACAGATCAGAATCCAGTGACAGAAGTGTGGATGTCTGAGAAATTTTACTATTGAAACTTAGACATAACCTGGGTCATCTCTTATCTTACACAGTATACATATGTGCAAAATTTAAAAAGCAAATCTAGTACTTACCTGCCAAGGAGTTGTTATTTTCTGCCATTTCTGCTTCCAGAAAACATTTGAAGATGCATTCCACAAAAAAATATTAAGTGTAAAGATCCTATGAAACACTTTTTGCAGTAATAAAAGATTTTGGAACTTACCGGAACTGAAATTTCAGGATTATTTTTAAGTTTTCCAAGCACAGCAAAGCCATCAATGCTGATTTTCCCTTTTGGTTTTATGTTTAAGGATTCTATTTTAATACAGTCAATGAAAAGTGTGACACTGTTTGCTTCCACACTTATCATGAGCTTGTGCCATTGGGAGTCAAACAAGAAAGGCAAGTGCAAAAATGACGCAGTTTGGAGACTTCCATCCACTCCTTTATAAGAAAACTCAACACTTTTCATTTGACCATTAAGATTCACTCCAACTTGTTCTTTTCCTGAAGAATCCTGAATCTGCCAAATAGTCCAGTATTTCTGAAGCGTGGCCCCAGCCATCCGAAAAGTAGTTAGAAAGGAATATTCATCGGGCAATCCGTTGGAATATATGGCGCTGTGTAGGATCAAAATACAGTACAATTGTTGTGTATTTGTTCTGAAAAGCTCCACATATCACCACAGACTAATGAGAAACAGTTACTCAGTGGAACCATATTTCAACCATGCTTTTATCAGTGCTCTTCTGCATGCAGAGTCCCGAAACGGGATGTCCTTTTGAGTCATTAGTGTTGCTAATAGCAAAAAGAACTGGTTCAGAAATGTGGGTTCTTCCAACATTGTACAATATTTATGATAACCCTTTCTAAGTGTAATGGATGGAGCAACAACAGACTCCTGTATTTAGAAAGTATATCTTACAATTATGCTATTTCCTACTATTAGATTTACAAAATCAGTCAACATAGTGTGACTTTATAATTGACCAGGTAAATAGTCAGATCTGATTTGGTTTTGAAGACATAAGAATGTCTTTTGCAGATGCATTTCCTTGTTCAGCCTTACAATATCCATTTTGTTAATGTATTAGCTATCACTTCAGCAGAAATAATTCAACAAATCGTTCATTGACAAATATATGCTTAGTAAGAACCCACACTAAAAATGTATTATGTCCTGCGACATTCAACCACAAGACTACAAGTAGCAGGGAACAGATTTGCCACATATAAAATGTTTCAGTCTTTTGCAACTCCTATAACATGTGAGATTTGGAAACACAAACAAGTAGTACTGGCTGTGTCACTGTGCAAAACAGTAATGTAATTTTTTATCTCAAATGTGTCAATGAATCCAGTAGAATATTTAAGAAATATGCCTTTTTATGTTCTATGGATCATAAAATTGTAGTGTCATAGTCTGGTTGACATCAATACATTATTTGCCATTTATCCACATTTAAGAATAAGTTGTATTTGAATAAATTTCTTAAGTATGGAGACATGCAGAGCTATTTTGTCACCAGCTTTCATGAGAATAACTTTTCAGGCAAGCAGGCATTTTGAACAAAGATTATGTTTGAGAGGCAGATCAATCCTATCTCAGCAGCAATTTAGCTAGCATTAGTGAACCTCAGGCTTTAGAATAAGGGGGGAAAAAAAACCAACAAAAAAATGGAATAAGTTAGTTCTTATTCTGTATGCTTGATGACTACTGATTTAGTAAGAGAGTACTTCCAGATAAAATCTCCACAGTTTGTAGTTTGGTGTTAAAGTGTCCAAAGCTGTAGTGCAATCATATTCCAGCAGGCGACGGCAGAGCCTCAGCAAGATTTCGGTAAGGACCAGGGCAAGCCTGGCAGCAGCAGCAGCAGCTTCAGCTTATTAATAAACTACCCAAACTGCTGGTGTTTCTCCTCTTTCCCCACAAGCCTTTACATACACCTGAAAGCTGGTGTAGGAGGAAGGGGATTGTTTAGCTGGAAGATTATCTCATTACATGAAGTGTGGAGATATACAAAGGTGGGTGAGGGGGTTCCTTGCCATTATCTTTAAACTGCCTGCGGTTTGCTATGACTTGTGTCTCTGTTGACTGCAGATGCAGTAGTCTGTCCCAGCTGGCTTTGTCTGATAGGATTCTATCTAACTTGTGTTCTCTTATTGTTTTGTTTCAGTTTGTATCTTGCCATCTTAAATGCAAACATCAATGGATGGACATTGTGCCTTTCCTCCTGTTCTGAGCTCTTTCCCACGTATGCTACTGTCCCCTATCCTTTTGTTAGGCTTCTAGCTTACATTATATGTTTATATATTCCTTCCAGGAACATACTCCCTCTCCCTATACAGACACACATTAGTCTCTTGCTATGCTCCTGATCCAGTTCGGCACATCTTTTATGGCTCTCTGTGTCCTTCTTCCTCCATAATATCTCTTAAACAGATATTTCAGTGTCCTCTGCTGCTAAAACCTTAGCTCATGTGAGTCATTTATCTCTTCATTTGCTGAATCCCACTGTTTGTTCTTGCACAAGAGCTGGTTTTACTACTACCCTATTGAAGGTGGTATTGTTAGGTAATTTTTTAACTAGCCTCCGTGTGACATTCCACTTTCTCTCTATCAAGTTCAGTGACTCTAGGGGATCTGAGTTCTGCAGCTAAAGGAGGCATTGCTAATCCCAAATCCTCTGAGCAGAGGTATTCATTCTTTCTCTGCACTGGTAAGTTTTGCTGTCATGGCAATACTGATTAAAATATAATACACATTCTCACCCCACCTCAGCTGACATAACTATACTGGGAAAAAAATCCCAAACAAAAAAACAAAAATAAAACCTAGTAAGTAAACATAGTTACACTTTGCGATTAGAAGATTGTTCATACCAGATTGGCAAAAGGATTCTTTGCACCATATTTAGCTATAGCATTAGTTCTTTACAAGCCATCATATGGTCCTCCTTCTTTTTCAGAAATTAAAATAGAAAAGAAATATGTTAACTTTTTGAAGTGATATACAACGAACAGAAGTTGTGTAAGAGCTTTTGACTGTTCTGACACTATAAGAAATGTATATAGAACAGTAAAAATAAAAAGTCAGTGCACAAACATGGATAAATATTTACATTTTAAAAAACTTTTAATAACCAATCAGAAGAACTGCTGCCTTTAGACTAAAAACTCAGTATCAGTAATGTGACTCAACATGATGAAGCACAGCATGACCCATCGCCAGAAAGGTACTCTGCAGGGGACTGTTACTGTGTAAGATTTATACCTATAAATCCACAAGTAAAGCAGACACAGATTCTCATCTAGTTACTCCAACAGTAATGAAATGCAATTCCATTGGCATTAGCAGTATCAGCGTATTTCAGTACACAGTTTTTCCCAAAGCCTGTGATCTTTACATAGGCAAAAACCCTACTGAAGACACCAGCTTAAAATGCTAAAAATTTGGAAACTAGAGCAAATTTATCATGATATTTAAATAAACAATTGTAGAGAATTATTCCTCCATCTCACTGCAAAGTGAAGAGTGTTGGATTCTGTAATCTTCTTGAAGCTGATAACTATATAAGGTCTTAAATTATTTTTAACATACATGTTTCCAATTCCACTAATTTATGGAAGGAAATCAAGCAATTTTAATTTAGAATCAGGCAGATGAGCAAAGGAAGAATTAATATGCAAAATTATTTCAAGCACATAGGCCAAATTCAGTCCTGATCCATTTCCTACCCACTTAAAATTGGCAGGGATATAAGCCATCAGATAATTTTTTTATGCATTTTTGTATCTTAAGTGTGTAAGCTGGCAGTCTAGTCCTAATTCCCTTGTGTAATCAGACTATTATTAACTGCTTTGTGTGTGAAATGAGTGCAAGATCAGGTATTTTATCAGATTAAGTCCTTGCTTAATTTTTTAAATACAGTGGGGGGGG